AGCGACGAGAATACTTTTTTGTGTGCAAAAACCCCCAAAATGTGGTGCTCACCTGACCAGCGTCGGCCAATAGTGAGCGTAGAGCGTAGAGCGTAGAGCGTTCTGACGTAGAATGCGGAAGCAAAGGTCTTATGGGTTTGGAACAACATGAGGGTGAGTAATTAATGTAATTAATTAATGATTTTTGGGTGAACTAACTCTTTAACACGTTATAAACTATTCGTCCACCGTTAAGTTGAAAGTAGAGTATTTAACCAATTCTGGACCAAATATTATTCTTGTGGCCAACGATAATAGGCGTAATATTATAAAGTCGTGTCCACTGATACTTGTCTGTAAAATCAAATAAGACTTTATCGAACTACTCTAATACACAAACTAATCTAATGAAAACACACACACACAGTTGCACGGAAATGGTGCCGATTATGATTTTTAACGGAGGAAGTCCTAAATGTCCTAAAAGGCATAAACACGGCAATCCCGCTCGGATCTGCACTAAAACAATCGCTCCGAGATCGCCTGAACAAGGTGGTCTCGGCCCGACTGAAAATGTACTCTGGGGCGGTTTGGTTGAGCTGAGAAAGCAATCCGACCCAATGAACCAACAAACCAAGCGGTATCATAATTCATGAAGGGAAACGTGTTATATTAAAAGCAGCGCTGTCTGATTCTGTGAGTTTTTGTGGTTGAAAACCAGAGCATTTAATCATCTTAAAATGTTGTGTACCGGTATTTGTTCTTCTCTGTGCATTGCAAGAATGCTGTCCCGACGAAGCCTTGATTACCACTCTAAATGATATAATTTTAAATATAATTAAATATATATAAGCGAACTTGTAAATCTGTCTTGACGGATGACGCAGACGAAACCCTGACCAATAAGAGGACAGTTTTTCCTCACATATGACTTGCATAAACACTTTTGGTACACTTTGAAATGTTGCCTTGTGAAAGCGAACCGAACCAAAATTGTAACATTGCAAATTGCAAATGTAACATTGTAACAAATTAAGTTCCTATTTCTGAACAAAGCAAACGATCTACAGGCCTGAAAACACTCTTAAGTCACATCAACCTCCAGGAAATCTTTTAACCATCAAAGCCATATTAAAGGTATCTCCTTTTTAAGAGGTAAGTTAATAAAAAGGCTGCTGTTCACTGTTTACCACAAAGGAATAACTCAACAGAAAACATACAAATAAACAGGATACATAAGACCTGTAAAATCAAATCTTAGTGACTAATAAAGCTTATTTGTTGACACTGCTGTCTGTTTAAGCCAAAGGAATGAGTTCAATGAAATATCTGCTGGAAATGGGAGATGAGTTCTCTGGAATTTGTTGCTGTGCAAAACTCTGATTCAGATACAGATACAGTTAATTCATAATCCATCGAAAACGAGTAACTTATTGTTCAAACAACACGTGTCTTGTGACTTCGTCAAATGATTTGGTGCCAGTCTGATTAACCAAATAAACACATATTACATTAATATCAATAACTCACATCTTGCAAATAAGATATCCTATAGAGTGTGAAGGACCAAACCTACAATGTCTGTTTAAGCCAAAGGAATGAGTTCAATGAAATATCTGCTGGAAATGGGAGATGAGTTCTCTGGAATTTGTTGCTGTGCATATTTGGTGAGGCCTTGTTCATTAATGTTCCTAATCTCACTAATAATCTAATGAGAGTAAGTTGACATGTAATTTCAAATTGATGAGAGCTGATGTAGCTGTTACTTATAGTTAGAAAAAGTCTAAAGTGGACTATGGAAATAAAGTTTAACCTTTATTTTAATGCTGGTGCGATTCAGATTTGTACTGTAATAGTGGATCAGATTGTGGACTTTATGTTAAATGAGTTAAATTTACATTCTGATAAGTACAGTGGGTTTACCAAACAAGTTCCATACAGAACTCTGATTCAGATACAGATACAGTTAATTCATAATCCATTGAAAACGAGTAACTTATTGTTCAAACAACACGTGTCTTGTGACTTCGTCAAATGATTTGGTGCCAGTCTGATTAACCAAATAAACACATATTACATTAATATCAATAACTCACATCTTGCAAATAAGATATCCTATAGAGTGTGAAGGACCAAACCTACAATAATTGAAAATAAATAAATAAATACGCGAATAAATGTAAAAAACAAACAAAAATAAATGACTATTTATACTTTTATATCCCTATTTATGTATAATTATATATTTTCCCACATTTATTTATTTATTCATTTATGCATTTATTTATTTATGCATTTATTTATTTCCATATTTATTTATTTTCACTTTTATTTATGTATATACGCATTTACGTCTACATTTATTTATTTATAAATGTATACATTTATTTATTTATTCATTTATTTATACATTTATTCACTTGTTGCTCTGTATGCTAATGAGCGGGGCATGTTTTACCTCAGACATAGCAATCGAGCTCAGAGTGGGAGTGCTGAAGCTTTGTGGCCACAGTGACACCTTGTGGTGTGACCAAACACTACGCAAGAGGTTTGAGGACGTGACTTTACAGGTGTCACAGGAAATAAACGACTTCAAGATCTTCAAAATCTTATATCACGGTTTATGTCCATTAACTTTACTTAGCTATTTAGGCCTACCATACATTGAAAGTTTGTTGCTGTCAACATTGTTTTTGGATGATACATTAAAAATGCAGTTAGCTTCTGTAAACGGATCTACAATGCATGGCATAAAATGTGGTCAATAGTGGATAATTTGACGCGCTTCCGTGTAAAAGTGTCTGTTATCAGCGGATTCTGTTCATCTGTGCCCAGACATTTAAAAAATCCTGACCAGCTGATGTTTTACGACCATGTCCGGAATAAAGAGTAGACCTATCAATGGCCTAAATAGCTAAGTAAATTTAATGGACATAAACCGTGATATAAGATTTTGGCCATATTGCCCATCTCGAAGTCGTTTATTTCCTGTGACACCTGTAAAGTCACGTCCTCAAACCTCTTGCGTTGTGTTTGGTCACACCACAAGGTGTCACTATGGCCTCAAAGCTTCAGCACTGCCACTCTGAGCTCGATTGCTATGTCTGAGGTAAAACACGCCCCCTCATTAGCATACAGAGCAATAAATGAATAAATATATAAATGTATAAATAAATAAATGAATAAATAAATACATTTATAAATGTATAAATAAATAAATGTAGACGTAAATGCATATATACATAAATAAAAGTGAAAATAAATAAAAGTGGAAATAAATAAATGCATAAATAAATAAATGAATAAATGTGGGAAAATATATAATTATACATAAATAGGGAAATAAAAGTGTAAATAGTAAGTAGTAAATAGTTTTTTTTCCCCGCGTATTTATTTATTTATTTTGAATAGGTTTGGTCCTCCATAATAGAGGACAGGTCAGACAAATAACATGAAAACACTATTACTGTACAACAATTTTAGAGACAATCAAAACCAAAACAAAATAAAACAAAAACACATTGTTTAAGAATTATTTATAGCTACAGTATGCCAACCAAATTCATTAAAATCATATTGTAAGTTACTGTCCTTTCTATATATATATCACTAAGGCATTATAGTTCCACAGAATATATATATATATATATATATATATATTAGTGCTGTCAATCAATTAAAACAATTAACTAGATTGTGATTAAAGTTTTGATTAAAGTTATTATAAGTTTTAATATTTTATGATGTAATAATTTCACAGTTAATCGCCAAATTTATGTAAAAACAACATAAAGAAGACAGTAGCCTATATTTTAAATACTTGTTTAATAGTATCTTTTAATGAATGAAGGGCAGTATCACTGATACTAAAACAGCTACATGTTGTCTCAATGTTTAACATTAATTACCGTCATTCAACATTTCAGTGTAATTGAAAGCTATAACATTTATTAGGCTTAAAAAATAACAACTTTTAAATTTAAGTGAACTTAAAACAGTCCTCACATAAACCCATAATAAATGTCATATTTACCTGTGCCATATAAAATATAGAGAAATTGAATAAAGTTATCAAACAGTATGCACTGCATAAATTAAAAATGAAATATGGATGAATCATTATTAAAGCTATGAAAATTCTTTAGTCAAGAGCAGTGTGTAATTGTCTCTGTTTCCTTTGTTCTTTGATAAACAGTAATGACAGACAGCATTAGTGGCTGCTGTCACTTTAAGACCTGCTGCTGCAGCACATGACATGGATCTCACACGTGTCTCAGTTTCTCACAACTCTTTAGCTTTATTTAAGACTTTGATTTTCTCATTTAAGACTGCCCTTTTGAGGATACTCGACAAAACGGACAGTTTGCCATATTTGTGTATGTTATTGTTCTTTCAAGCGCGAAAGAGAACTCGATTCTAGTTCTTTCTCTTTTGTCTTGTCACGCTTGAATGGTTTAAAAGCATTTGCATGAATAAGAGCGTGATCATATTATGTAAAGCTAGCCAAAAGATGACAGAAAAAACAGATGCTGCGTTAATTGCGAATATTTTAAACTGAAAAAATTGATTGCAACGTTGACAGCACATATATATATATACACATTTATATAAACACTTGGTATTTAGAAATATCCCTACTGACTACTCTATATAAAATCAAAGAAAAAAAAGAAAGAAAGAAAGAAAGAAAGAAAGAAAGAAAGAAAGAAAGAAAAAAAGAAAGAAAGAAAGAAAGAAAGAAAGAAAGAAAGAAAGAAAGAAAGAAAGAAAGAACTTCTAAAAACGTCCAAGGCCGTGCTGAAACAGACTCGGTTAGTCAGGGGTCACATGGAAAGGGGTTCAGGTATTAACATTTCTAGAATGCTTAGAAGAGGAAATACAGTGATCTTGGGTGTTGTGATGGTTGTCACTATAGTAGATGACTGCTCATTTACCACATTATACTGACCCAAAGAGAGAAGGGAAGAAGTACATTTAGACATATCAGGGTACGTGTGAAAGAAGTGCTGGGCAGTAACCTACTATGGTTGACGGTTACCAAACATCAGGGGAATTATATAAACAGAAATGTCATCCCCAGAGCCAAGCCGATCATTGTCGATCCGCCAGCCCTGGTTCCTCAGAACCCCTCTGGCTCGCATCACCAGGTCCTGGGCTGCCATTTTGTATCTGTGGTCACAACACACACTTAAAGCATATATAGACTTATATTATATATCAGTTGGCAGCAGTTATATGCACTAAAAGTAAATGGTGATATGCTATTTTTACACTATATGCAAAAGCAATAGAAGCTAAATACACTAAATGTAAATAACAACAAAAGTATTTTCTTTACACTAAGTGAAAATAGCAGTATTTTATTCACACTAATAAGTGTAAGTTGTTATATGCTATTTATAGTTGATACAAATAATGCCAGATACTATTCGCACCTCAGTGTACTATATTATAAATCATAATACAATATAGGGATGGGACGATACACTTAAACTCACGATACGATGCACCTCGATATGCCAGGGTCACGATACGATACGTCACGATACGATATCAAAAAAGGAAAAAAAAGAAAAAAATATTACTGTATAACAACAACTTATTTATTTTTGTTTCAGCTGCACACAGGGAAACACAAGGCCTAACTGGCCAAACACAAACAAGAACACTCCCTTAGTGCTGCTCTAATCCTAGGTTAAGTTATCTCAGGACTGGTTCTTCTTAAAAAAAACTAACATATCAACATGTTCTGGTGTAATCAGTGATCTTTGAGCAGACACAATGTCTCCTGCTGTGGAAAAGACACGCTCAGTGCCCAGTGAGCGTGTCTTTTCCACACACTTATACATTTGACTCCATGGTCGGCTGTTTGGGGGCAAGGCAGTTGGTGCTAATGCTAATATTTGTTAGCTCGCTGTAGACTGCAGTGTTGTTGTTGCAACATGCGCTGTCTTGACGTGATGACGTACCGCACCGTTCCCCGGATATATATATATTTTTTTCATTTAGTTTTACCCTGCTTGCCTGCCACCATAGACTGTATGTCTGCCCCATATACATACACACACACATATAATACACTAAATTATTTATATACTACGCAAATCAAGCAGCAGTGCCATCTATCTTTATTTCGCGATCCATTTTTTCGACCTCGATGCGTTTCGTCACGTTTTGTATCGCGATATTTTGTCAAACGATATTTCGTCCCATCCCTAATACAATACAATAATAACATATTCAGTGTAAATGATTAAATTTGACATTTGACACTATTTGTCCCTGCCCCGAAATCCCTCCCTTATACCTACTCCTAAATCTTCCCGTTATATCACTACATTCCCACTATAAAATACACGTTTGGCACTTTATTTCCATTTTTAAAATAATTTCTTAATTTTTAAAGAGATGAAATGCCTCTTCCAGCTGATTTTGGAAAAAAAGTGGATTCGAACTCGGGTTGGTCACGAATCCACCTGCCTTACTTTCTACACCACTGCTCCAATTAACTCTGGGATTTCTTTTGTAGTGTAAATAGCCTCTGCCAACAAGGCGGGACTTTAAGACTTAAAGCTATTTGCACTTGATATAATCTACCCAGTCTCTGGCGTCCCGCCACAGTTTTAAAATGATCTGAAATTTTTTTTACTTTTCTCCAAAAAACAACAACAAATTTTTTTTTCTAATGTTGTGATATTCACCATTGCTTTGGCAAAGCGTCTGTGAAGTGAACTAAATTAGGTAACTAACTAATGAATATACATAGCACTTTTGAATGCTTTATTGTGATTGGCCAAGCAGTGATTATTTATTAAGAGCTGCATTGCTACAGTATGTCGCTAGTTCCAGGTCTTAACAGCAATAGACTTCCACATCACTTTGCCAAATTATTTCAGTTCAAAGTGCCATATCTAACCTACCACAGCAGAAGAACCAGATAAAAACAAAAGGCAATAGTCAAGCCATTCAAAAATTTTGATATCATTTGGATCTGTACAAAAACACTCTATTACGGAATGTATGTCTTTCTAAAATAACAAGTGATATAAGCATATTACAAACTTATTAAATAAATTGACCCTCTTTTCTTTGTAACATGCATGAATTGTAAATTTAACACACAGAATGTCAACTGTTTTGCTTGAGGATTCAGATTTTACTAAATACATGAAACAGCAAACCCATCAGTACCAAAATAGTTTAAAAAATAAATAAATAAAATCTTGAAATGTATGTATTGATTGATACATCTTTGGTTTCTAATTGTCTATTCATTTTCAATTGTTCTGTATTTAATGTCGTTTTGGTAATAGATTTTTGATCTAATATAGTTTTGATCATGGCTTCAAGGATGAGGGCATGTCATACAACCTGTCCTTTTTGGTATCTGCCTAAATTGCAATATAGGCTAATTTCTACATGAATTTGTGGCAAAATAAATTTTTTGATTGGATTTGACATCATCAAAAGTCTTGTACTATAATGCTTAATTTTAATGCATGACAATTCCACTAGCACATACATGGGCACAGATAAGGGCACATAATCAAAAACATAAAAACCTGTGAAGGTCGTCGGGATCACAGTTGGCCAGGAATGAGATGACAGTCTCTGCTACTTCCTCATTAGAAAGGACATCCCACAGGCCATCAGTTCCCATGACTAGCACATCATCTGCTCCATGCTCATATTGTGTCAGGTTATACACTTTAACCTGCAAAGAAAGTTCAGCTTCATTCAGTGTGAATCATAAGGGCTTAAACTGCCTATGATAAGACTCTACGTCACTATATTCCATGTTACACACAACATATTCTGCCACTGGCTGCTTTAGACTGCCCTCAAAGATCAGACTTGGTGTGTCACTGCCCTTAAAGGGATAGTTCGGCCAAAAATGATATTTAACACATGCATTACTCACCCTCAAGCCGTTCGAGATGCATACCGTAAAACTTCAAATAATAGCCCGGGCTTTTATTTTCCCAAATCGTCGAACCGACTTGTATTTGAGACAGGCGTCTATATGAGACCGGCCTTTATAATTTAGTGTTGAGATGTTGTTCATTGAGTGTAGGCCTAGAGTCTCTAATCTCTAAAAATCTCCAAATGCTCCACGTGAAACTGCGGTCTTCCGACCTTTTACTATCGTGTCATTGATTTTGATTAATATGCGCGAGGGAGAGAGAGCAAGACAGCGCTCGTTTTGTTTGAAGACGTGAGAGTGCGCGCGCGCGGCTGGGGCGCTCTCTGCTCGTTATGCGCCCTGTCAAGCGCAGCAGTCGCCGATCAAAAAAGGCTTTGGCGGGACACACATTTGCTTTGGCGGTCGCCAAAAAGCGGACGATCTGACGGGTTTTAGAAGATTAAATACAACCCGAAACTAAAAAACAGACCCGGCCTCTATTTGAGACCGGCCTTTATTTACCCAAACCTGCAGCCACACCAGGCGTGTAAGAGAGACAGGCGTCTATTTGGGACTCGGCTATTATTTGAAGTTTTACGGTATGTCAATCTTGTTTCAGACGAACACATTTTCAGTTATTTTAGAAAATGTCTTAGACCCTTCAGTGGATATAATGTGAAGCAATGGGGTCCACCTCCTTCAAGTCCCAAAATGTGCATACATCCTTCACAAAAGTAATCCATCCGGCTCCAGGGGGATAAACGTAGTAACCGTCGTGACGTAGACGTTGTTTTGCTCTGCTCTCTGGCTGGCCTTGTTTGTTTCCTGTTTTCCCTTGTTATTTTTCTCACCTGTGTCTTGTTACCCTCATTAGTATTTGTGTACAGTCTTGGGCTGGATTTCCCGATAACGTTGTCTCTTAGCTACGTGCTACTAAGACTCTAAAGGTATAACTTAACGAAAGATATACCATTTCTAGGCGTGTTCCCCTGTTCAAACTTAGGAGGTTAAGATATACCTGTCCGTGGCGGTGGTGCTGAATTTGTTGATATCGATGGCTCGAGAATCAATTATTCACTCATGCAGGGGCTGCTTTACTGCGTTATGTGAGAAAGAGGTGTTCTTTATAAAAGAAGTACTTCAGAAATAGTTGAAATTGGGATTTATTAGGACTCATGGGATATTATAAAAAATAATCCAACCTACAGTAGCCTATAATAGCCTAGCCTACACATTTTAAAATTGTATCATATATTGCTGCCACAATAACGGCCCATTTCAAATGTTTACGTGCTTTCTTTTCTTTCTCCTTTTTGTTCACTGAGGTTTTTGTAAATACTTTTCAGCATTTCAGATGTGGATTCAGACGGCAATTAAATCACCACACGACCTTGGTGTTTGTCAAAAAACAGTAGGGCAGGGATTTTTACGTGGGAGAAAAACACTGACATTCTGATTTGCCAGCTCAGGTAGCTTTGGATAATATAATAAAAAAGTTAACAACAATCAGTGTAATGACAATTTTATTCTTTGCATGAAAACACTTGAATTAGCCTAATTGAACACTGGGTGTATTAACTTCAGAATTATATTGGTATAGACTGAGATGTAAAAAAGTTTTTTGCAGTGGTGGCCACCTGTTAACATTGATAAGGTAAAGCTAAGATAAGGTCCAGACCAACCTTCCGAACGTATGACTTACAGAAGGTATACTTAACTAATAACGTTTCGGGAAACACAAGGCATCTACGCTAATATTAGTCTCTCTGTTTATACCGAGGTTTACCGTACTCAGCCAGATCCGAGCCGTATCCAGATCAGATGAAGGACCTGCACCTAGACACGAACACAACGCAGCCCTGAAGTGTCAGCAGAGACCATGTCAACTAGACTATCCCCTGCGAAGGTCTCATCGAAAGTTTTTTTTTTCACGACAAACGATTTTCCTCTGTACAGATGAAAATATTATCAAAATGATTCCAGTTCACACACATCTGCATAAACGACTAAAAACGCTGTATTATGCATGCCAGACAAGTAATTGGTAATGTCCCTTTGTAAAGAAAGACTACGCCCCGTACATACGCATTCAAACGTGAATGCCTACAGACTACACACGTAATACGCATGTGCACGCCGTCACCGTTTTCACAGATTCACATTTACATGGAGATAAGGGTAACACTTTCAAACACTGTTTTCAAAAACTTTGAAAAGTTTGCGTTCACAGGCCACCCAAATGCCATTGTAGTGTAAATGAACAGCCATAACTCATTAAAAGTTTTCTATTTTCAGTTGAAAAGGGTGTTGTGTAATAACTAATTACTAATGTTTAGTACTAACAAAGTTAATAACTAATGATTTTTACAACGGAAATTAATCAATTAAAAACTTACTTAAGCTAGCTAGACAATGACTTTCTTCTAGATCTGTTGTACAGCCAAAACAATCTTTGTTACATTAACTTCCTATTATCACCGTGAAGCTCCTGAGAAGCTACAATCTGTATTATAAAAAGCGCTATATAAATGAAGGTGACTTGACTTGACAAGCGGGGGCTGCCCACGGGCTGTTAGATGGCTCAATTACTCCCACTTTTTCCATCTCCCAGGTCTTTTGCTCTACTGCGGTGTGTTTGGCCAGCGCTAGCTGGTGGGGTCGCAGGCGGATGGGTGGAGCTGCGCTGGTATCCTTTGAGGGCCACCCACTCCCCGATTACAGTTCTCATCTGCATTGCAGTAGCTGATCACCCTGTTGGCATTGACCCTTCCGTTCCAGGCAGGGTTCCCGGGTGGACAATGGAAAGGTGGACCCTGTGTTGATAAGGGTCCTGCACGCATAGCCATTTAGATCACAGTACACGTACAAACCCTGGGTGTGAGCCCGGAGTGGCAGACACCCAGGGTTTGTGCCATAAGATTCTATCCAAACTATAGAATCTTATGAATTTGTGCGGAGAAGACCAGCCTGCTGCATCACAAACATGCTGTAGGGGGGCAGCCCCGCCAAGGCTTGGGAAGAAGTGACCCCCCTAGTAGAATGAGCCCTGATGCCTACTGGCGAAGCTTGACTGCACACCTCATAGGCAAGGGCAATAGCATCTCTCACCCAATGTGAAATTGTCTGTTTTGTGGCGGCCAATTCAGTAATTGCTCTGACTTACGCCACTGGCTAGTGCGGTGGACGTAGGTCTGAAGAGCACGGACTGGACACAGTCTCTGAAGTCTCTCCTGACCCGGCGTTGTGAACGGCGGAGGGCAGAAGGCCTCAAGAGTGACTGTATATACGGTCGAGAAGGGGACCTTAGGGTAGTCAGGATGAGGATGCAGGCTCCATGAACGAAGCGGGCACCCCGTCAATCAAGGCGTGGCAAGCCGATAAAGCGGCCACATAAACCCTGAGAGTGATATCAGCTGAAAACCCAGTGTCCCTCAGTTGGTACCCTTCCAGGGCCAAGCATGAAGGTTCCACAACTTGGGGTTGGGATATTGTCCCCTGCGTTTGAGACTGAAGGTCCCTCCTGTTCGGTATCGCCCAGTGCGAGCCGTCGAGGAAACATATTATTCCCGAGACCCAAACTCTGCTCAGCCAACAAGGCACTATCAGTAAGAGGCAAGGACCCTTGATGGCAAACCTTGGCCAGGACTCTTAACTGCTGACTTCAGGGCCAGAAATACAGCCATCAATTCGAGGCAATTGATGTGACAATCATGGGATGCCTCTCCAGATCCCTTGGGCTGGACGACCACATAAGACCGCTACCCAGCCCGACAGGGAGGCGTCTGTTGTTAGCATTCTGCGACGGCAAGACGCACCTATAGTGGGACCCAAGGCAAGGAACCAAGGTCTGAACCACGTAGAAAGGGAACAAAGCCGCAGCACGTAACCCTTACCATATAAACATGGATTTTAGAAAGGACACAAAGCACTCAGCGCGTGCCCTTGCCCTTATTTGCCTTTGGGGATTGTATAGATGAAATCCCCCGGTTTTGAGCCGGTTTTGGTGACAGAGTGGCATTTAACCCTCAAGCACCCTACTCTCTGGGTGGGAGAGAGAACGCTCTTCTTCGCGTTGCATCTCAGCCCCAGAGAGAGAAGATGAGCGGGGATCGATCTCGATGTCGAACCACAAGCTCTTGAGACTGGGCCAGTATTAGCCAATCGTCTATGTAACATGGCTAGGTCGAATGGAGGGATCCAAGATGGGTAAACTTCGCCCCCAAAAGCAAACCTCGGGAACTTCCTGTGTTGTGGCAATATTACTATGTGAAAATATGCGTCTTTAAGATCGACCGTGAAGAACCAATTGAGATGTTGAATTTGCAACACGATCTTCTTGATAGTTAGCATCTTTAAAATTGAGCGTTCTGATGGACCGGTTCAAGCCTCAAAGATCTAAAAACGTTTAGATTTATATTTAGATTATTTAGTGCCTTTGCACACGCGATAGTCGAATGGGTCGATGTCGAGGGCACAAAGATCTGGAGAGAGAGAGCGAGCGATAGTCGCCAACAATCGCATTTACGCATTTCGCATATCACATTTCGCATTTAATCACACTACCCCTTTGAAATAAGCAAAGTGAACGCAAAGCACTTTAACTGTGAACAATCACCATGCTCAAACGCAAGGGCAGCATGCTCTTTCCCCAAACAAACTGTAAGACTGGAAGAACTGGTTGATGGAATCAACCTCACCACAGGTCTATAAGACAAAGGACCTTGCTTGCACATTAACATTTGAACATCTCACACACACAGACCCCGCATATCACATCGCATATCACATTTCGCATTTAATCACACTACCCC